CCTATTTTTTTATTCATTTATCATGCGTTTGTTTTCTGCCTACATTTCCTAGAAAGTAAGCCCCCATGTGTCTTTCCAGATTGTAGAACAAGGCCTGGCATCTCTAACAGGTGTTCAGTACGTCTCTGACGAACAAATGAAGTAGATTTGGAAATCCAAGGGAAATTAGAATTTAGGGTTATTCTTATACTCCTTGTGGCACCAGGGAATAGAAGGTGCCCGAGCAGCCTTACCCATGGATGCAGGGAGGCTGGAATGATGGCCACACCAACTCCGTGGCAACCAAGACATAGGAAATCAGTACTGATTTTACTTGCCTGAACCATGACAGAGAAGGACATGAACTTGACATCCCAAACTATGCACAGTTCGCCCAAGAGATTCTACCCACTTCCTCTGCACTAACTTCTGGCCATGCAAGAGAAGAATTTGGGCACATTTAGGGGCTTTTTAAAAAATAAATTACTCAAAGTAACAGCTTATCCAATGTGATTTCTAGGGGAAACATGTACTCCTTAAATTGAAAATTCTGCCCCATTAACTTCCTGAAAGGTGAAGGTGGCTAGCTACTGACGGGTTCTATGAATGAGGTAGTCTGTGATGCAGCAAGGCCTCCAGGGAGGAAATCTTTCAAGTGTTAGAGAGGAATGTTTCCATTTGGAGGGATTTGTATTTAACGGATGACAAGTTAATGTGTCATCAGCGTCTGTGGTTGTAGTAGGGCTGCTAAAAGGAATGACAAATACACCATGTGCAACGTTGTATTTTAATACATTAGCGTGTCTGTTAAACGGGACTTTTTTAAGTTTCGTGAAACTGAAAGAACCCTCCAGAGGATTCTGCTTTGTGACATCAGCTTCTTCCCTAGAACTTTTCAGCTGACATTTTCTTTGCTTTTTGGTGGGCTTTTGCCTTTGTTTTTTTTCCAAGAAGAAAACAGAATTCTCTAGTAGGCAATCTGTACAGTATATTCGCTGGACCAAAAAACTGACCACAATCCTATGGATTTAGAAGAATCGATTGACATAGGTACCCTGGACCCCAAATCATGAACTAATCAACTGACATGATCCCGTCATCGCCATTAGAAGCCATTTTTTATATCATAGTACCAATCGACTAGCAACAAATCTCCCAGAAGCTCAACTTAAGTATAAAATAAGGGCAGGATCAGTGATAATTGCTAATAGTTATAATGTTGTTGGCGATAATGTAGATGTTATTTTTGCTCTTGTTTTATACTTAAGGCTACAGAGGCACAGAAAGCCACGTGGCAAGTTCAGATTGCTCAAGGAGTAAAGCATGGACCTCTTGCCCAACACTAACTTCTTCAACCAACGTACAAAAAATGACGCTTTAGAATTAAATGCAGCCTGCTGCTACCCTCTCTTCTCTTTGCTTACATTGCCATTTCTGTTCCAGAGGCATGTATTTGCTCTTCTCTGGCCACCTGAGAAATCTATTTCGTTGTAAGCAAACAGGATGCTTTCTAGCACCCCTTCCCGTAGGTACGCATTATCTTTGTCTGCTCTTCAGATTCTAGGCTGGTTCTTTTCCCCATTTCAGATCCTCTGTTTTTATTGGTGATTGCTTGCATTTATTGGGGGCCAGGATGTAATAATAATACTGTGCTTATTTTTGTCCTTCTGTCCGAAAAAAGTCAGTAGAAAGAGTGATTCTTTCAGTGTGTGAGTGTGAGTACATGCGTATGTTTTGGGGCTTCGGAGAAAAGGAACTGCAACGTGTTTCTGAAGCCCTTCCACAGCTGCAGCTCCCCCCACCCTGCCCCCCACACCCAGCTTTCATGTGCTCTTGGCAAGTCATCATTTTTTGATGATCAAGGATCCCCATAGGACTGGTGTCATGCAGTGTGTCATGAACCAGAATGAACTAGGCAACGTGTGGATGGCTGGGAGACAAGCAGCGTGCGTTGTGCCCTGCCACCCTGGGCTCACCCGTGCAAGAATTTGCCCATCATCCTAACGGGCCTTAGGAAGCTTGAAATGACTATGCACTTAGTCACTTGCTAGCTGTGTGATCTTGTGCAAGCTACTTAATATCTCTGAGTTTCCATTTTCTCAACTGTAAAATGGAGACGGTACCTCTGTTATAACACCGTAAGCTCTATAAAATACAGGGCATGGAGTGCACAGCGCATAACTCAGTATCTGGCATACTACAAGCTTTTTAAAATGAAACCTACAAAAAATAAATAAATAAAATAATAAAATAAAATAAGACTTGAAATAACAATGGAAGCAGTGCCATGTTCATTAGCTGTCTAAGAAAGAATGCTCATTCTTCTATGAAAAGTGTTCCTAAATACATAAACTTTATTCATGCTCTCACCTAGTTCTCTTACATTTCTCCCTCTTTTAGATCTTTCTTAATCACCCAAGTACCTGTTATTTATGGAGTCCCTTCCCCCAGAAAATCACACAGAAGCATGTCAAAGAAAACAAATTGTCACTTATTCCTCTGGGGCATAGAACTGTGGGAAAAAGAAATCCTTAATAAGGAAAAATAAATTGCTGTTGAAACCAGTGGACATGTTTTACTCCTCAGTGATGGTAAAATCCTCCCTTACACACCTTAGATTGCAAAGATGGGTGACCAGCTCAGAACAGTTTCTGAGCACCATTCACCACTCACCATCTACCCCCTGCTCATCTCGAGAGCATGAAAGTTCACCATCACCACCCTCCTCCCTGGCACCCTGTCCTCTTCCCTTCCTCCATAACTGGCAGTCTAGGCACACCCCGTGTTTTTCACTTCATGTCTTTGTATAGGTAGTTCCCTCTGCCTCAGATGTCTGGCCTTCATCCAGATAATTTGTACTTGTCCTTGAAGACTCAGCTTAGATAACTTTTGTATGGTGCCTTCCCCAAGGTACCTCGTTGTCTCAGTCTGGGATGGGGTGAAGGAGTACGATTCACATCTCAGTCTATGGGAATGGGACCCTGTGGAGATGTGGTGTGCAGTCTGCATGACAGGATCTGGTCCGCCCACACCCTGCCCACCAGCCCACCTCTCCTGTGTCCTCCCGAAGCCTCATGAAGACATTTTCTATCTCTCTGTTTTAATCATTTACAGGAAATCTTTCCTCCTGGACCATGTTGTTCCTCAAGGAGGAAGCTCTGCTTCCATGTTTCCATTACCTCACAGGCCCCCATGTGAGTAGGGGCTCGAGAAGAGAGCTTGAGAGATGCCCCTTCCAGTGTGTACTTTGGGTATAGCGGCTTAGGAGTAGATGACTCACAGTTTAGTAGGAAAGTTTGAAGAGTGACAAGGGCTCTAGGATGATAACGGCTTCTAAGAAATAGAAACTTCTAAGAAATAGAAACTAGCCTGGAACGATGACAGAGAAAGTCTGGTTTCTAGTGCTACCTTGAGACTCACCCACACCCCTTTGGCATTCAGATCGAGCTGCCATCTATATATTACAAGTTGGGAAGCCCTTTTCTAAACTCTATTGCGGGCTTTTCCCTTCGTTTCGCTTGCTATTTAAAGTTTCAAAGTTTGCCACACATCACGTCGTTTTTATCAGCTATGGCGCACCTTAGAGCGGACATTTCCTTCAGGAGCCAAGGATACTGGAGCTTCTATTTAGAGAGTACTTATTATGGGTCGGATGAAGGCCTGCCTATGCCTAGAGGCATGCTGCTTGAAGCCGTTCTAATATTCATTTAGTTAGAACCGTAACCACACCGAGTTATTGCTGGTCTCGTATGGATCATCTATTCACAGGCAGTTCTTGGCTTCCGTGAGAGGATGTGTGTTATCTCTGCTATTGCCCATCACGTCTTTTCATTTCATTATGAATATTGTGCTTGGAAGCCTGATTTTCAATCTGCAATCCCAATTAAATTCTTTCAATACAGTCTGTCCATTTAAGTGCATAGTTTTCTCTGAAGCAGACTTTGTTGAAGTTGATAACCATGATCTGCCATCTTTGTCTTCTAGGGTTACTGCGTTTTGCTCTAACTGGGAAGGAAGAAACAATTTTTAATATGAATGGACTTTGTAGCCTGCCATGTATTTTTTTACTGGCTATGAGAGCAGCTCAAGTTCTAGAAAGAATTAGAGTTCCAAAAGACAACTTTTTAATGTGAACCAATTAAAGCATTCTTTCCATCTTCATTAGATCTGTGGCCCCAAGCTCAATTGCGTCTCTTATTATACTCCTGCTGTGGTTACTGACAAGTGTAACTATATAAAAAGCATTGAAAGGGGCCAGCATAATTTCACCAAAGGAACATCAGGGTGAATTGCTGAAAACCACTAAACATGATACCATTTAGATCAACTCCAAAATGAACGCTGCCAGCTGTCTAAAAGGACCCTTGGGTGATGGTGTCCATGCCCAAGGGTAAATGTCTTCTATATGAAGCCTCCTAGGAAACTAAGAATTAGGGACTAACATTCATGGGAACCAAAGTTACGAAAAAGTGAGGAAAAGTAAGGAATTATTTTAAGTCAGAGCCCAGAGAGACCATTTGAGCAGAGATTTTCCAGAGGTCATGCACACATTTTCAAATATAGAGCTAGAGAAACAAGAGGGATGTTGAGAACAGACTACGTCATCAGAGTTGAGCAAGCAAACGCTTAGACTTAGAACTGTGGAAAAGAGATAGGAGGCCCTGTGTGAGCCTCTCCTGCTTGAAAGAAGACTTCAGTGTCAGAAGATATTTAACAGCAAAGAGGTCCTTTTGTGAAGAAGGGAAAGTCTTTTTTAATTAGTAATGTTCAGTGTACTTCATGTTCCTCTGGAGTTTGTAATCTAATACTTATTAATTGGGTATGAATAAACATAAATAACCTCTATCCAGTGAAGGAAAGGGAGAATGGTCATGTCAGGAAGTTTTCAGTAGTGGTGGAAATGAATGATTACGTTTACGATTTATCATGGGTAATTCTAACACCCTTATTATGTTTATTTGAGGATGTAAAGTGACGAAATAAATCTGAACGACAACTGTACTTTATTGATTTTGCAGAGTTAAGAGGAAGATTTATGCATCATGGAACCTTCTATCAGATTTGGAAGAAAGTAAAGGGAGCGCGGAGATGCCAGACCGCCACTAAGACCCATGGACAATCCCGCACTCACACTTCTCTATTGAACTTTAGGATTTATTAGTAATATGCTGCCTTTGCAAGAAGAAAACAAACTAATGCCAAGAAGGCATATTCTTCCGTATTTGGAATAGACGTGCTCTCAAGACAATGGCTTCAAAGGTCTCCTGTCTCTACGTTTTGACAGTTGTGTGCTGGGCCAGCGCCCTCTGGTATCTGAGTATAACTCGTCCCACTTCTTCCTACACTGGCTCCAAGCCATTCAGCCACCTAACAGTTGCCAGGAAAAACTTCACCTTTGGCAACATAAGAACTCGACCTATAAACCCACATTCTTTTGAATTTCTTATAAATGAGCCCAACAAATGTGAGAAAAACATTCCTTTCCTTGTTATCCTCATCAGCACCACCCACAAAGAATTTGACGCCCGCCAGGCAATCCGAGAGACGTGGGGAGATGAGAACAACTTCAAAGGGATCAAGATAGCCACTCTCTTCCTCCTGGGCAAGAATGCCGATCCGGTTCTGAATCAGATGGTGGAGCAAGAGAGCCAAATCTTCCACGACATCATCGTGGAAGACTTCATTGACTCCTACCATAACCTTACCCTCAAAACATTAATGGGAATGAGATGGGTGGCGACTTTTTGTTCAAAAGCCAAGTATGTCATGAAAACAGACAGTGACATTTTTGTAAACATGGACAACCTTATTTACAAACTCCTAAAACCCTCCACCAAGCCAAGAAGAAGGTATTTTACTGGCTATGTCATCAATGGTGGGCCAATCCGGGACGTCCGCAGTAAGTGGTACATGCCCAGGGATTTGTACCCTGACAGTAACTACCCACCGTTCTGTTCAGGGACTGGCTATATCTTTTCAGCTGATGTGGCTGAACTCATTTATAAGACCTCACTCCATACAAGGCTGCTTCACCTTGAAGATGTCTATGTGGGGCTGTGTCTTCGAAAACTGGGCATACATCCTTTCCAGAACAGTGGCTTCAATCACTGGAAAATGGCCTACAGTTTGTGTAGATATCGCCGTGTCATCACCGTGCATCAGATCTCTCCAGAAGAAATGCACAGAATCTGGAATGACATGTCAAGCAAGAAACATCTCAGATGTTAGGACTTTTACTGATGTAAATACAGTTCTTTTCTTTTTTAAGAAATGGGGCCTAGGGTGTTGGTGTTTTACTGGTGTCACCAGGGGAAATGAACTGGTGTAGGGGTTTTGTAAAAAGCTTTTTGCTTCCCTCTCCTAGTTTCTTTTGTGGATTGCCCATTTACAAATGTTAGGCTCTGGTCATAGAAACAATCCATGAGTTAAAAGGGCCAGATTTCAGTCTCAGGTCCTGAGGCATTGCATTTGTCTCAAAAAGCAACATCCTAACGATGGCTAGAATTTACATACCATGCATCTGAGATGAAAATCTAGTTCTGGGAAACCAAGACTTGCGGTAATGTCTTCATATCACCTCTGCAAAAATAAAAGTAAGTAACACCTTTTCAGAAATAATACAGTCAGGAAGACACACCCGGTGTCATTATTAATACTGTGTGTGCTGTTACATTGAATTTTTACATCTCTTGCCATGTAATGTCTACAGTATTTGCCGTTCTACCAAGAAATGATCTTAGACCTGGCAAGGAGGTTGCAGCTAAATAAATGGAAATTTAAACTTGAAAATCAAATATTCTGTATGGTTGGAAGACAACTCTGCTTACTCATCCGAGTATTAAACCTGGTCATCGGGTGGAATGTATATAAAATGCTACTTAAAAAAATAAACAAGTTTTTTTTTTTTGGTCTTTTGAAACAAACATTATCTGGTGCCTCCAAGGAGATTTTGCCAAATGTAATCTCACCTGCTTCCCTCCATACAGTGTTGCTAAGTGCATTTTACAGATTCTGGCTCGGGAAGGCACATATGTAGAAATACATTGGTAGGAGGGCAGAAAAACGATAAATTACGAGGAGACAATACAAATTTACGTATGCATTATAATTAACATAAGCAAGCTTAGCAATAGTGTAAGATGCCTCTCCCACACATTTGCAAAGCCTGTGAGATAATCTTCCAATGGGTCCCAATGTTGTTGAATGCTTTAGCCCTACAGTTGATAGATGTAATATTCTAACATCAGCAACATCTAGGTGCCTCTAGCAGCAATGCTGTTAGGGCCAGGAGTGGCTCTGGAAGCCCTGTGACTGAGGTTCATGGGAAGCAAAGGTAGAGAAGCTTGGGATCAGTTTCTCTTGATACCATCATACGTGTTGGGTCATGTGAGCAGGCATCTTAACCTTGCTGTGCTTTAATATGCTCATTTATAAAATGGATGGAAAAAACACCTACCTCACAGGTGCTGTGAGAGCAAATTGCATTTGCTAAGTATTTTGAGATCCTTAGTTTAAAAGGTGCTAATGCAATGTGTCATGCATTATGCCAAATGCTCAAATAATTAGTTACAACAATGGTCATCAGTAGCAGTAACATCATCTTAAATATAACTTCTGCCAGCATAAAGATCAAACCTGAACTATTACTGCATCTGATTCTTCTAAAACTTTGACTTTTCCCTGGATATCTTAGGTGTTTGGAGAAGTTTCAATTTCTCTATCATTTCCTCTGGTTTCAATGAGTAAGTTTTTACTTCGGTGCAATGCCTTGATTTCCCAGGGTGCTGAAAGTGAAGGCAGCTGCCTTTCTTTGGAGAGGAGCCTCTGGCTAGAATCATATTACAATAATTGAATCACATGCTTTGCAAAATGTATTATATCCCATCGACTTAGATCTCAGGAAACACTGATCTGAATTCTCAGTAAGAACTTTGAGAGCCAGTAGAGCTAGTCCCTCTCTATCAGGAGGAGAATAGGCACCCTGCAAACCCACACATCGCACATCTATTCATTAGGAAACTTCTGCTTGTTTTCATTCAAAGACAGCCCTGCAACTGAAAGAATATAACTTTTCTTTTAACCTGACCTTTCGAAGCTCCCCCTAGAAGTTGATAGCAAACAAGTAAACAAAATGAACGCATGGATGTCATGGCCTCTTTCTTGACAACATTGGATCTCTTATCCCCAGCCCAAAAGAATGCAATATGAGACAGGTCTTCCTGTCCTTCAATACATTCTCATCAAATAGTCAGCCGTACTGCCGAGTTTGATTGGAAAACAGCATTAGGTAGCCTGGGGAGAGATGGATCAACACAAGGTGAGCCCCTCTCTAACCCCCAACCCTCAACTGCTATAAGTTCCGGTCATTGGAAAAGTCTCACGACTTTGTACTTGGTTCACATGTCAGGCACCTAGCTGAATCGAGCTTGTGTCTTCTACTACCATCTTGCATTTACCTTATGCTCAGCCAAGCCACCTTCGTGTCAAGGAATTGCACATTATAAACATCATATATGTACATCTATGAATTGTTTTCTATGTATGTGTGTGTGTACATTATAAATAGAGCCCTAATCTTTAAAGGGAGCAAAAATCGGAGAATCATATGTCTTAAAGAACTATTTCCTAACTTTTTTATGCTAGGTAGTGCCCATGTGACAAACATGTAAATAGTCATCAAAGACCATATGTATATATTTTAAAGGCATTTTTTTCTCCCCTGTATGTATAGCTAGAATCTGCTTGCTATGTACATTTTCTTCTGCATGGAGCTTGATAAGGCAAGGCCATTTGTCCAGTGTTTCAATAGCCAAAAGCATGTTTGCCCTTCATTTTTTGAATGTTCAAAAAAAAATGTTTAAGTCAAGTGATCAGGAGAAAAAGCTCTAATTTTCTACTTTTCTTAATTTTCTGGCACTGGCCAAATTATGGTTTCAATTATTTAAGTCATTTTTAAATGTATTTTCATTTCTCTTACATAAAATGTTTCAGACAGTATTATACCAGGAGTCATTCAGACAATTTTTATAAAAACCTTCTGACTGTCCCCCTACCTGTTTTGTTCATTATGCATTGGATAACAAAAGGTATCAATATTTAGTATCTGTATTCTTACAATTTCTTTTTTAAATTTATTTTTGGAAAAAAAGTTTTATCTTTGCTGGCTAGTTTGCGTGGCTTTGAGTCTTCTTATATTGGACCAAATGCCAGTCTCAACATATAATATCATATTTTTAAATAACGAGAATCAAAACTTGAAGATCATTTTTTGATTTGGATGAAATTCAGAAAACCCCTTTGTGTGATGATATCGGGGAAACAAACTCTTAACGGAGAAGCTAAGGAAGTTTTTCAATCGAATCTCTTCTGTCAAAACACAATGGAACATTTACATAAAGCTTCTGGGATTCTTTTTCTACCTTTCCTAATACGTGGGTTTAGTCGGGGAATTGATTATGTCATTTCTTCTGTAAAGGTGAGGATAGTTTTTATAAGCAACCAAGTAACTTGTGAATGAAAAAAGTAATTTACTAGAAACGCTTGTTGATGATAATTGACATTTAGGTATATCGTTATATATGAATGATTGTTAATTTATGTATTTATTTGTGGGAATTGTACATACTACTTCGCCAAATGTAATCGTCTGTAAAAGTGCACTCTCCAGGTTTGTAGTACTATTTAGGGTTACATGGGTTGCCGATCAAGCTGCTAATCAGAATACTATTTTTTGTATCAATGTTATAAAACTGAAAAAACGACGAATAGATGCTGAAGATGTCTTCACATTCAGTTTCTTCTCCTTCCTCTTGAAACGTAAACTGTTGATTGAAAGCACGATGCCAATGTTTAAGTCCATCTGTCATGAGGAAGATCATGGTTCCATAAAGCTGATTTTTTTTAAACCATTGGGACAAATAAACAAAAGGAGAACATGTTTTCCTCTTTGCTTCTTTTTTGAAGGAATCCCTTTGGTGGGTTGTGATCATTAAGATGAGCCGACGCCCCGTTGTTTATCAATAACCTTCTCTTCGACTTCCATGTAGGTCAGAGCTCGCATCGTCCAGACCTCATCCCAAGAGCCCATTGCAGCTAAACACTCAACTAAGAGAGTGTTGGGCCATAGATCACAGGCTGCTCAGGATTTAGGAAAGTGATGTCTCCCTCACCCCTTGGTGGCCTCAGGAAATTCTCTGTTTTAAATTCAATGGGTTGAACATGTCAATAGATTCCTATTCAGAGAGCATTATACTGACAACGTGCTTGGTGAATTAGGACATATTAACTTCAAGGCGAAACTGTCGTTCTTACGCGTCACCCACATATATCGTTTGGAATATTGCGTACTATAGTAAAAGTTTGCTCAGACTGGAGAAATGCTCTCCAGGCATTCTTTACAGCAGACAAATAGGTGTTGCTTGCTGAAGCCTGACTTTGTAAGCAAGAGACTAATAGCTATTTAAGAGACAAAAGCTCCTGGGGCGCCTGGGTGCCTCAGTCTTTCAGTGTTAGCCTTCGGTTCAGGTCCTGATCCCAGGGATCCGGGGATCCAGCTCCATGCTCAGCGGGAAGCCTGCTTCTCCTTCTCCCTCTCCCACTCCCCCTGCTTTTGTTCCCTCTCTTGCTGTGTCTCTCTCTGTCAAATAAATAAGTAAATAAATAAATAAAACCTTTAAAAGAGAGAGACAAAACTTCCTGTTCTTATCAACCCTGAATTAGCCTAAATAGGTCTTCACTTGTTATTGGAAATTTAACTGGATTTACTACCGCTATACCTCAGAGGTCAAGCAATTAAGTCCATCAGGTGAGCTGACATACATGAGTTAACAATGAAAACATACAATATATGGATTTGTATTCAGTGTGATTCTTCTAAAGGACCAACATCAAGAGCAACGCTGTAAATGCATGGTCTTAGACCAGGAGCATTCATACCAAGTGAGAACTGGTTCGAAATGCAAATTCCTGAAACTTACCAGAAACTTAGGGGTGTGGCTCTGCAATCTATTTTAACAAGCCAGTCAGGTGATTCTCCAGCAGGCTCAAGTTGAGAATGCTGCTCGCAGGCTGGCAAGCTACCCTCTGCGAACCACTTCTAGGACTGCTGCCCCCAGGCTGAGCGTGGTTTCAGGATGAACGTTTGCAAAGACTCAAGAAGGGGAGACACCGTCTGCGGTGGGCTCAGGTCATTATCCCAGAGTTCTGGATCTAGCACTGCATTGGGCTTCCGGCTCAGGGAGAATCTGTTTCTCCCTCTCCCTCTGCTCCTCTGCCTTGCTCGTGTTCTCTCTCTATCTAAATGAAATCTTTAAAAAGAAAAATTCTCCTCTCAGTAGATGTGTATTGCAAAAAGAGTACTTAATTATTATTTTACTATATTTTAATTTTATTAATACAGAAACTGTGGAGATCTGTTTCTTGTTATTTCAGCAAGTTTATGTATCTTCAGTTTTGCCCGTTAGCCTTCAAGCTTGAAGTATTTATTATCTGGTCCTTTACAGGAAAAGTTTGCCAACCTCTGGCTTACAGAAAGAGGGAGACATCTGACAAAGGTGTTACATACAAATTTCCTCCAATTGTAAATGAGAAATCACATCACTAAAGCATACTGGAATTGTTTCTACGCAGACAGGGAAATGACAATGTAGTCATGATAATGAATTGCATTAAAAACTGACAGCTGCATATATTTTTAAAATATTTCCTTTTTCTCTCTGGGTGATTTTTAAAAATTATAAAAACTTGATTCTAATTGTAACAATTATCCAGAGCTTAATTAATATATTGCTTAAAGATGTGTGGGTATTAGACCTAAGAGGGTGGGTTTCATATAGCTTGATTATCATAATTACAAGCATTCTATTTTCTCATTTACTTAATTGATTGTCAAAGCTTTCCAGATAAATTCACACTGCTGGAAGAGAATTGAGTACATTTCTGAGAGGGGGAAAAAAAAAAATGGGGCTATTTAGAAGAACGATGTGTCCCAGAAAATAATCCATGTGAGCAAGAAAAATTGCCCTTGATCATATCTCCTTACCTCTTTGCTGGTTAAAATAGGCATTTTTGTGAAATGAAAAAGAAATGAATGAAAAAGTATTATTGATTCAACTACATCTATAATAATACCGGCTTCACTGTCTGTTCAGCCAGAGATGCCTAGCACTCAAGAAAAATTTTCCATTTAGTTTTCCTTATAGAATCTATTAGTTTGGTACATTATGTCGACTATTTGTTATGCCTCTTGCAATGACCTCCGTCCTCACCTGGGGGGAGCATGGTGTGAAAGGTGATTTATTCTCTCTCTGAGGTTTATTCCAGAGCGTTTACTCAGCAGTGGCTTCCTGCTATGGCAGGCTGGGCAGCCTTACGTGTGGGGGGTTTGTGATGAAGACTATTTTTCAGCAGAGACAGGGATGACCTCACCCAGAGAGAGGTGAGGCAGAAGAACGCATCAGAGACTTTCTCCCCTTGCAAAGCCTTAAATTTTCAGGGCCCATTCCTCTGGTCTGTTGTTTTTAAATCCTAACAGTAGCCCCATAAGATGATGTCACTCTTATCTCAATAGACAGATTAGGAAACTGAGGCATCTGAGAATTATGTAACTTACAGAGTGAGCCCGGGCCCTCTAGCTTTAAGGCCGTGTCCGGGACCAAGGCAGCATGCTGCCTCTGAAGGTAAAGACAGACACCCCAACTCCCACCACCCCCAACCCCATCCCCGTTCCAATGGAAGTCTGTGTAATTATTTTAATTTGCTTTAGCCCTCTCACTCTCTTTGAGTTATATTTACATACTTTAACATTCACCCCTAAGTTTTTAAGTGTGTGAATTTTGACAAATGAAAGGTTCGGGCAACGGCCGCCATAATCCAGATACAGGGTAGTTCCATCACCTCTCAAAGTCTCTTGCCCCTCTCTGATCAGCCTCCTTCGCCATCCCCTGGCAGTCACTGATCTCTTTCCAAACTTCTGTTTTTACATGAGATTTGCATTTTATTCAGTGGTCATCATATAAAATGCTGAATATTTAGAAAAAGTTTCTTCCAATAATGCATTATGGCAATTTAGTACAAAGAAAAGGAAAAACCCAGAAAGGAAGAAAATCGAAGACCAAAAAAAAAAAAATTTTTTTTAATAGTTAAATAACAAAGTACAGATTAAAATTCCAGAATTTTAAAGTAAACCACCTATTGATTGGATAGTATCCAAATCTAATGAATATTAATAAGAAAGTAGAAGTCAAAAATCTATATAACCCTCTTCACTCCAAGTCTAGCCCAGCTCAGGAGGAACTTTTAACAGACCTCCTATCCTTCAGAACTCACACACACATTTCTGTAAAGTAGGAAGAACAATCTATAAGTTCAATTATACTTTTTTCCCTCTTGGAAGCAAAGGATCCTCCGGAGAGGCATCCATCACTTGCTAGCTCATGAAGAAGCCAAGCCTTCTTCACCCTGGGGGGTATCTCCACACTGATCTCAAGCCACAATCTATTTCTCTATTTCTGTGTCTGCCCAGGCTTTCTTTCTGTTGGTCTCTTCAGTGTGTGCTAGTCCGCATCTCCTTTAGGAGACGAGAACTTCACAACCACAGGTTTCTCTTCAAACTTTATTGACCGAAATATCTGCGTTAACGTGGAAAGCATGCCATTTGTAACAATATCCTCCTCAGTCCTACGGGCAGTCCAAGCTAGAAGCAGCATGGCTGTGGGGGCAAACAGGAGCCGGGGCAGGACCCACAGCATGAGGGACACACACACTTTAGGGCAGTGCTTCCCGGGTTATAATATGCCTAGTAAGGGGAACTTACTAACAAGGGGAAACTTGTTAAAATGCAAATCAGTAGTTCAGGGTACAACCAAGGTTCTGATTTTCTGATAAGCTCTCAGACAATGCTGATACTCTTGCATCAAGACCCTAGCATTCAAGGGAAGATTCTTGATAGAGATACTTGCATGCTTTAAGCATCTATTATGGACCGTACCAAGGGCTTTCACTTATTGCCTCTAAATCTTCACAAAAACTTGTTAAAAGGTACTAAGGATTAAGGTGAGGTTTTAGTCTCTAGTGCAGTCTTAGGTTAAAAATTCATTCTTTTGATTTCTTATCTATATTTTTCTCTGAGACCTTATGGGAAAAGATTAAAGTCCTAGAAGAAGCAATACACCCAAGAAAAAAATGCAATGAGAGGCAAAATAATCTACTTAAGATATCATGCTATTTTTTTTTGTCTAA